AACACACATGCCCCCCCCCCCCAAGCTCAGTCTAGAGGGCACTGTAATTGGTCTTGTCCTGTTTGACTATTCATTTATACTCTTCTGTTATAAAGCTACATTTATAGTTACATAATCATAGTCTTCCAAGACTTTTTATCTCTGCTTTCATGTTTACTAGTTAACAGAAACATCCTTCTAGATTCTTCCACTCATTATGCTGTTTGTCCATTTACTGTTAGTTTTACTTTTGACATGTGTTTTCCCTGTGATATCTGTTGTATGTTGCCATAGTATCTTTTTCATACTCTTTACCTATTGTAGGCAGGCACTGATTTTTTTTTTTTTTTTTTAAACAGTTGCTTCAAATTATGATTTGGAGCATGTCCCCTGGAATAAAAAAAATGCAATGTAATTTGTGCCAATAAAATTGAGAATGGGCAAAATGATGCATAAACTAGATGAGCATTGTCTGTTTTAGTAAGTAAGGGTTGTTTTTTTTTTTTAATGTCTAATTTTAAATTCCTCCATTTTGGGGGTTACAAGCCAAAACCAGTTTTATGAACTCCCTCTGCTGGTCTGATTAATAAATGTCATTTGGAGAGCTCTGCTCATTGCTGATGCAAGAAATGATGTGTGCAGATGGATATAAATGCTAAGAACTCTTTCTAGCTCCATCTGTTTTCGCACAGAAAACAATCAGTGTCAAAAATGGACAAAAATTAGTAAGGAGAGATTTTTTTAAATCCATCTTTGCTTAAAAAATACTTTGACACGAGTGTCTCCTTAGGACAAGGCAGACAAGGTTCTTTGGGTGAATCTGATATCTTTTAATAGACCAACTTAAATAGTTGGGAAAAAATTTAAGCTTTCGGGTTTAAGAAAAAAACGTTTGTCAGACTGAAAATAATTCTAGTTGTCAGGGACTCAACTGAGCCAGGAGTTTGTAGTTGTAATTGCTGTTACAAAACTAAGTTGCTTATTCCTCGTCACTCACTGTCCCTATCTTTCTCTTCTTGCATTCTGTTGCTTCACTAACCAACTCCTGCTGATTGGCTAACTACTGCTTCAGCTGACTTTGCCTTTCTCCAATCAAGATGGGTGCCTTGGGGATGAGGCTCCCTGTTCTCCCTTCTCCCCTTCTCCCAGCTACAAGCTGTCTCCCTCTGGTTCCACTCTACCCAACGTCAGCCTTGGGGCAATCGGCTCAGGGCTCAACCCCCAAAACTTCGCTGCTAGACAAGTAAGGAGGCCACCTGCTAAGACTAAATTACTATATTACTAAATGGCTGCAATTTAGGCTTAATCAGAGTCAGCTGATTTCTTGCATTTTTTTTCTGACAAGATGTATTGATCACTGAATAAACAGAAAATGTTTCAGATACTTTAACCCATCAAAGATCCATCCTCCTGGTTGTTGTCTATATGTATTTTATTTGTTTTGTTGGCCCTTTACTTCCTTCAATAGTGTGACAAGCTGATGGATTTAGTTTCAAAAAGGCATTTTTTGCCATTCAGTAGAAACAATGCAACAAGTATTTATTAGAGTATTTTAGGTATGATAATCTAGCCCTTTAAAAAAAATTCTTATCAGGCACAGTTGGTTTAAACTTAATTTGCTTTTGAACTTTTTTTGTCCAGATTCCACACTATAATTTCTACATTAAAATATGTTTAAAAAACTAACTTAATTTGGAAATCTCCATGGAAATAATGTTATATGCTTGTTGTACACAGATACTATAAAATAATTGTAGGTGGGTATGACAGTATCTCCAGCAAAATAATTTGGATTATTGTGATAGAATGGTTTACAGAAGTGTTTAAAGTAGAAGGAGCATCAAAACTATTTTAATGGTCCAAGCTTACAAGGCCTATACACTCAACTTTCTGGCATTTCTCTGTTTTGTTGGTTGGTCTGTCTGTCTAACACAGAGACAGGCAATGTCCAGCCCACAAGCTGGATCCATCCAACAGTGGACTCCATTTCCCAGCAGCCCATGCCCACGTGGCTGGGGCCAGTGTCCATGGAGACCCCAGCAGCAGCCATGCTATGATAGTGTGGGACCGGGGTTTCCGTAGAGACTGGCCCCAGCAGCACTAGCAGGGCGCGTGGCAGGGTGGGGAGCTGCTCCGGGGCTGAGCTGGGATCTTGTGATGACAGCGTGTTCTGGAGCCAGGGCAGAGCCATGATCTGCCTACACGCCCTTACCCTGAGCATGTGGGCTGCAGATCGCTGCTCTGCCTTGTCCCTGGACCACACCGTCACTGCCGCAAGATCTCAGCCCAGCCCTGGAGTGGCTCTCCAACTGCCAGCGCTGCTGGGGCTGGTCTCTGAAGAAACCCCTTATCCTGCGCTGTGGCTGCTGCTGGGGTCTCCATGGAAACTGGTCCCAGCCATGCAGACAGGGGCTGCTGGGAAATGGAGTTGGGCCACTGGCCAGATCCTCCATTTTGCCCACTCCTGTTCTAACACTAACTCTTAAGCGCAACATCAGATTGATGTGTCCACAGATGTTAAAGGCATTGTACAGAACTGTTCTGACTTTAGGAAAAATTAGACAGCTGAAAGGAAGAAAAATATGGGGCATGCACAGAGCCCCTACACAGCCTGAGTACAATGACAGTTTCAAGCACCTCAGCAATGGTCCATAGATAAAATGACTGGTTGATGGTTTCCCATTAACACTCAAGCATAACAGCACCTGTTTGCTCTGCCTTTTTACTAGTATGAGGCAAGATAAAGGTGTATCTTATAGACTGAGTCAGAGATGCATATATTTTTTGTGACCAGCAGCTCACTTCATCAGATGCTAAGATCTTACTAGTGGTTTGACAGGCAAGAGAAGAGGGAGTAAGGTGGGAAAGAGAGGCATAAAGGAATAGAGATATGCATAAAGCTGCTGGTATGGAGCAGGATTAGGGACCCTAATTCTGGAGGGTGGGAAAATTAGGGGCACATATGCCTCCTAGGGAGACTAGGGAAACCTGTTAGGGGGACAGAGGGGTACTTGGAGACCCTAGTGTGGAGGTGAAGCAGTAAGAGGAAGGAACCAGGGAAGACAGAAATCTAATTGAGTATCAATCTAATTAGGTGGACAGCAAAAGCTCTGCAGGTTAGATGAGCATTAGAAGCATTTGAATTGTGAGCAGATTCATGCTGAATATTCAACCAGCTCCTCTGTCAAACCTCCTATAACGCAAGGGCCAAGATTTATTGGGAAAGTACTGCATTAATGTTTGTGCATGAGAGTGTTTTTGAGCATGCTGTTTGTTTTCTGAGCTCCTGTTTTTCTACCTGTAAAATGAGAATAATAAAGCAAAGGAAATGTGGAGCAGGGGGTTGTATTTCAAAAACTTCATTCTACAGAGTCACACATGGGACAGACTGGTACTCATTAGGGACAGCTACCCCTCATGACAGAGGATTCAGAAGATACTCTCTTCTTAGTCGAATATTCCTGCAATTTTATTAGTATGTAGCAAATTGCAAAGAATTTGATTAGCCAGAGAGATTTATTTCATTTGCTGTTGTTTTAATTTTATAGGGTGGCAATCATGGTTTGTTTGGAAACAGCACAGCACAATCAAGGGGCATGCACACACCAGTGCAGCCACTAAATCCTTCCCCCAATATCCGGGCGCAAGTGCCTCCCCAGTTTCTTTCCCCCCAGGTAAGCAGTCAACACATGGTTTCTTGCAATATACGCTGCTTTTTTAGGGCTTTTTTTTACATACCTACTGGGTGTGGACGTGGTATATTTTATAAGTAGAACCCACAGACTTGCTCAAAATTTCTTCTAGTCTTCAAGGCTTTGCAAACTGATACCCTTCTTTCTTACCTTCCAAGGGAGATCTTTGTTGGTAGTTTGTTTGCTACCCATTTTTTTTCATCTTTACTGTAGGCTTGTAAGTCTTGAGTTCTTGCTGGCTCTTTTTACAAAGTGATTTAAAAATGGTATTTTATCACTATGAACTTGGAGCCTAGTGAACTTCTTTTATCTTTTACTATGAAAGGTTTTCTTTACTTTTCTTCCACCATGCATGTTATTTCCTTTCCAGCTTCCTAAACTAGACAGTTAACTTACAGTCCTGAGTTCTAGTCTCAGCCCCCCAGTGCATGTATTTTCTCTATTCTTCCTTGTTTGCATTGGCTCTGTAGCGGCTTTGGGCCACTTTTTTTTTTAATTCTATATTTTAGACACACTCAAGGATAAAGAAATGGAGATTCATATTCTTCCCCTGCCCTTGAAAATAGCTATTCATCCACATACGGGAAAATAAACTCTTTGTAACAGACAGTTATTTACTCCCACGCCACCACTGATTGCCTTTCCTTTCCATGTGTTACTTGTCAAAGTGCAGAGTTAGCAGCGTGCTGTCATGATTCTGTTTGGTTGCTGACACAGAAAATGCTTCTAGTTTAATGCTGTCTCCAAAATATATCTTTCTTCAGTGTGGGTAATGGTGTTTTGTGAATTAACTGGATTGTGCATTCTCACAAGCCAGAAAATAGTATTTGGGTATGCGCAAAGGTGAGCATGAATAAATCCAGTGGCTTTCCAAAAATACTATATAAACTTGGGAATAGGCCATACCTGCTCCCCTCCACAGATGCCTCCCTTTTCTCTTTCTGGTTCATTTTTTGTAGAGCGGTTTATTATGTGTTGTATCTTAATTGTTTTAATATGGTTTCTACGCAGGTTTCTGCTTCCATGCTGAAGCAGTTTCCTAACAGTGGCTTGAACCCCGGTCTGTTCAATATGGGTCCCCAGCTGTCTCCTCAACAAATTGCCATGCTAAGCCAGCTTCAGATTCCCCAGTTTCAACTAGTAAGTACTGTACTTTCTCACATATTTCACACCCCCAAATGTAATACTTGCCCTATTATTGGAAGGTGCCAAAAAAGAGGGAAAAAACTTAATTTTTGACTCCAGGTAAGGGGCTGGGGCTGGGACCACACACCTGATTGGAGCTGTGTGCCAGTGCTGAGACTGCATGGTGGGACTCCAGAGGCAGTGCACAGGGTCAGGTCTTGTGTGCTGGCTTGATATGGTACACATTTGGGGAGGGGTGGGGTTCCTTATGAGTCTAGAAATTTGGTGGTTGGGAAGGAAGCAGAGGCAATATTAGTTGCCATGGCTTCCACAGCCACAACAATTAATGCTGCCACTGCTCTACAGCCCACCTACCTCCCCGGCCAAATTTACAGGCCCATGGGGGAACCCTTTTCCTCACATATAATGCTCATCCCAATTTTCCTAAGCTGGTTTTGGGGGATGTGGTGGAGTATTATATATGAGAAAATATGGTAGCTGGTCACCTTATTGGGATAAGCCAAGTTTCTTACAACTCTGTCCCTATTTACAGACATTCCAAAGATAGCTTTCTCCCTTTAGGTTTGTTCCACGTCTAAGTCTTGTTCTGCTGATTTGCATTATTTGTGTACAAACACTAGTTGCTGCTTTGTACTGGAAAAGCACACTTGTTGGGGAGTGGTATAATCTAAACTGACATATATAGTTATTGTGAAGTTTGCACTTGTTGTAGTCCACTGGTAATGAATCGTAGCAACCCCTTCAGGGGGGAGCTGTTGCATGATGATATTTTAGTCATTTGTGGTTATGCTTGTATTTTTAATTACTTAGATATGGAGCTACTGGGAGTATGATTTCTAATTAGATAAGATATAGCAAGGAAAGCAGATCATGTTGCTCTAATAATTTCACCAGGATTTTATTTCCTTGTTAAAAGTGAAGAACCACAGTCATCTTCACTGAAAGCTGTGGATAAGGCTTTACAAGCGGTTAGTTTCATCAAGAATTTTTGCCTGAAAATGCTCTGTCTTCTCCACTTATTTTATAGGCATGTCAACTCCTCCTGCAGCAGCAGCAACAACAGCAACAGCAACAACAGCAGCTGTTACAGAGCCAGAGAAAGATTTCTCAAGCTGTGCGACAGCAGCAAGAGCAACAGGTATGACATTCTTGGTTCTGTCAAATATACAGGGCGCAAAGTGTGTGAGAATGTGTCAGGTCTGGCAGACTGTGCTAGAGCCTATATGGCATACTCTCTAGTCATTACTGAGGACTGTTAACTCCTTTTAAAGTGGTGTGTGCACATGCATTATTACTCTCCTCTTCTGAAGTAATTACTCCTACATGATTACGTAAGCTACTGATTTTTTTTTTTTTTGATAAGCATAGTTTCCCCTACATATTTCTTTCGTGTGCAGATTGCCCGTATGGTGAGTGCCCTCCAGCAGCAGCAACAGCAGCAGCAGAGGCAGCCTGGTATGAAGCAATCTCCATCCCATCCCGTTGGTCCTAAGCCGCATTTAGACAGCATAGTACCCAGTGCTCTGAATGTGGGTCTTTCAGATTTACAGACCAAAGGGCAAATACCTGGATACGGTTCTGGTAAGCACTGCCATGAGATGGGGTTCTTCATTGTACTGGTAGTAGTATTACTACTCTCTTAGCCAATTTGACCTTACTAAGTCCTTAAGTTGGACATCAGGAGGCGCTACTTCACGGTCAGGGCGGCTAGGGTCTGGAACCAGCTTCCAAGTGAGGTGGTGCAGGCTCCCACCCC